CCAACAGCCGTCCGGCAGGAAGAAGGCATGGTGTCACCGACAGCAGCGCACCGCGTAGCACCACTGCATTCCGCCACCGGCCGCCGCGAGGGCGCCTCTGCTAGTCACTCTTGCGACCACTTCCAGGTGGTCATACACATGCACTCCTTTTGTCCAGGTGGTGTCCATGGGATCCAGGTGGCTACGTGCACGTCCGACGTGCGGATGGTGTCCACTTTTTGTTAATGGGTCCAAAATAAAGCGTCCCAGTCCATTTCAGGTTGAGAATAATAAAACAAGCCGAGATGTAAAAGGCTTGTTTTTAGGTGTTAGGTTTGTGTTGCGTCGAGTCATGGTTATAAGTTGGTTAGACTGCAGCTCGAGGACAAGCTGCATGTCCAGGTGGGGTGTAGTGTTAGAGTACGTGATGGGCCTAATGAGCCCATTAGTCTTAGGGTTAATTAGAGATAAGGGTCGCTTGCTTAGGGGTCAAGTAAGCCTTGCTTGGGAGTCGAGTAAACCTCTCTATATAAAGAGAGGAGATGTATCGATCTAATCAAGCAAGAATTAAGAAGGAAATCCCTTCCCTCTTGCTCGGACGTGGGCAAAAAGGCCCCCAGCCGGCCCTCTCGCGCCCTCCTTCTAGCAGCACCATAACAGTAGTTCTCACTGTTCATAAAATATTGGCACTTTGTTAGTTAATGGTACTTTGTTAATTATAATATACCCGGTCAACCTTTTCAAATTTTCAAAGCTAGCAGCTAGCAAAAACGACACACGGTTCAAAGCCTTCAACCTGTTGTAGTAAAAAACAAAGGAGAGGACAGATGGATGTGATGAATAGCTATTTATGAATTGCAAAGAGAATAAGTTCAGCGATTTATTGCACCGATCTAGAAGTGAATGGAAGGTGATTGACGGTGTTATGGCCCAAGGCTGCCTCACCTTGTCGGTTACCGGTCCAAGTAGGCCGGCCCGAGAGCTCCTAGGACGGTTCCGCCCTGGGCCATCATGCTAGCCCATGGGATCCTTGCCGTTCAAGACAAAGAAGCCGGATCTGTGGAGGACTCCTCTCCAACGACATAGCCGACTAGGTTGTGTAACCCTAGGAGCCCCCGTATCTTATATTAGGAGCCGAGCTAGTCAATAGATGGCCGTACAATCTCTCGGTTATACATGTACTTTGTACACCCCCGATCGCAATATACACAAGCAGGAGTAGAGTTTTAACTCGTATGGAGGGCCTGAACCCAGGGTAAATCTGTGTGTTGTTTCCCATCCAACCTACTCGCCACGCCGGGATACCCTACCGAGGGATCTACCGAAATTAGCTCCGACAGTGGTGACCCATACAGGTCCCGCAGAGGTCGGATGGGATCTCCGATGGATGCCGGTGTAATCTAAGCACTCTTCGACTTGGGCGCGATCATGTTCCTCGCCAACACGGCTGGCCACATCGGCCAGGTCGAGAACTACGCTTCAGGCCAAATCGTCCGATTTGGCAACCTAAAGTACGTCATAGACTCCTGCGGCGAGCTGGTTCTCCAGGGCTTGTCGTCATGCTGGGCCCAGGCGCAGCAGGTCAAAAAATTTGACCCACCAAACTACCCACTTGATCGCCAACATTGAAGACCTCACCGGCATCCTTGAAGGCGCAACCGAGGAGCGGGAGGACTAGGACGAGGAGTCGGGCGAGTCGGCTACAGCCAACTGCCAGCCGCGGCGCCCTTACGACCGTGGCAGGCGACCTCGGTCCACGAGTGCTACATGGTTGATGCACCAAATCTAAGCTTCATGGCAAGCGAGGAAAGCGGCGAGGTAGAATTCAGTGATAGGGAGATCGAGGCGCTTGACCAACAGATGGATGATCCGAAGCAAGATGCAGCTTGGCTGAAGGTCCTGTCGACCGTAGGCAAAGTTTCCAAAGAAAAGCGACGCCTGGAGACAAAGCGGCCGAGCTCGTGGATGTCGAAGAACAGTTGTATCGAACTACCCATCCAATTGGCAAGACCATACCGACTACAACCAAGGCCTCCCTGGCCATGAAGAGCAAGAGGATGGAAGAAACTATGAAGAACGCCGCAGACCATGGCCAGCCGACGTACCCATAAGTCTGGCAGTCGTAACCAAGAAAACCGCAGGACCCACAACGTAGCTCCTCGTACGATCTATCAGCCTAAGACGATTCGAGGGCCCGCACCAAGGCCTGATGTGCCACGTGACCCAACCCTGCACGAAACCGAGAAGCAATGTGCAGCTCGGCTGCGCCGGCAAGCTTGGCATAGAAACAAGCCAGCTTTCAACAATGGCCTGGATGATGCGCGCAACACTATAAACATCATCCACCCCTCGGCTGTAGGTCCCTCTGCGATGTATCCGGCCTGCTTCACTGACGAAATTGCCTGCCACACATTTTCACCAAATTTCAAGCTAAATGCAGTGGACAAGTATGACGAAAGCCAGGAACATGAGATTTGGTAACCAACTACATTATAACGGCCCAGGTGGCTAACGATGATGATTGGCACGGCGTCAAACACTTACCCCTGATGCTGAAGGGATCTGCCCGAGCCTGGTTAAACACCCTCGTGCCTACATTGATCGGCGGTTGGGATGATTTGCAAGCCGAGTTCATAGCGAACTTCAAGGCCACATACGTCTGAACTGATGATGCCAGCGACCAAGGACATCTGGCCCAAAGAGAGATAGAATCGGTGTGTGATTTCTAGACACGTTTCCTCAGGAAAAAGAATGAGATCGTTGACTCTGATGGCGCCGAGGTCATTGTTGTGTTTAAGCACGGCCTATCTGACAAGCACCTCACCAGATGCTTCGGGAAGTACAAGCCCAAGACCATGCTGACCTTGATGGAGATAGTAACTAAGTTTTGTTCCGGTGAGGATGAGTGGTACGCCAAGCAGAAGGCGCATGACGGGGGATCCCGGCATGTCCGGTACGAAGGACGAGGGCGACAGACCTAAACGCAACTGGAAGAACAAGCACAAGGACTATGACGACGGCGATGACCAGATCAACGCGGGCTTTGAAGCCCATCATCAAGGTGGGGGACGGCGGTCCGAAGGAAAAATAGTGGCGGGGCAATGGCAACAACAGCAGTCCATGCCTTGACAATATCATGGATAGGCCTTGTGGCTACCATCGACCCTAGAACCATGACGACCCTCCAGCCAATACAAGTAGAATGAGCTAGAAGGCTCTCAATCCTTGGCAGAGAGGAAGGTTGTGGGATTTTATAGCCTTACGGAGAGGAAGGAAATGAGAAAAAGTAAAATAAGGTAGGTGAACACTGTAGCCTTTTGCCGAAAAGCTAAGCAGCGACTCTTGGGAGTCCTAGCAGTTGTCGGATGCTTGATCTACAATGTCCGCGCCATCATAACCCGCGAAGCAGTACGGAGGAACGGACGACGTCAGATGCAAGATGGATTTCCTGGCCTGCCTATGCGTGCAGATGGCAGGTTGATCTCTCCTGATTTTGGTACCAAGCATTGCCTAGTATGGGGATCATACACAAGTTACCAAAAGTTAGTCCATTTGTATGGGACTAAGGGAAACTCATGCAAGGGAAAAAGGGATGTGTTGGACATATAAGGCGGCAAATAATAAACCTCAACATGTTCCCGAAGCGCAATGCCAGTCTCACGTTTAAGGTCGGCAACGCCGCCCACATGCCCCAGATCTTCCTTAACAAGAAGCTCATGGGTGGACTTGTCGTACTCAACTCCTTGCGCAACAACCGCGAGTTTGAGTGGCGGGTGAGCGAGCTCGCATGGGGGCGGTGCCCCGACGCAGTGCTTCGATTGCCGCAACATGGACATGCGGACGCCATAGCGAAAACCGCTGGTGCACGAGAAGGTACCGGAATGCACGGCGCTACGAGTTTTCTACAAAAACGACTATTAGTCGTTTTTCTAAAAACTGGTTTTTCAGGTTTTTATAAAACTCACTTATACTTATCTTAGTTGGATAACCTAAACAAGTTTTTAGGTGGTCAGAAGTTACGTTTTAGGGAATACGGTTTTCTATAATCCCCACATCCAAACAACCCCTTAGCGAGGAATAGAGTAGTTTATATGACACCAATATGACCAACTAAAAAGGAGGTCAATTGGTCAACCTTATGGAAGGAAATAATTGTCTTATTAATACTTGTTCATGCAGGTAAGTACAAACAAGGAGAAATGGTAGCATTAGTCAGGATTGATACTGTGTTGGCGTGCTTGATGAAACCCTTAACCTGTATGTCTTTTTCATACCTGATGATTGCATGCATTATTTCGAACATCTTCGAAGAGAGAAGAGTAGTAAGAAGGATCGTAAATTGAACCACCCAATATATCATCAGCCATTGAACCCCGTCTAACTGAATTAGATCTGGGGCTCAAGAAACTATTTCTTGCATCATTTGCTTCATAATATGTTGGCGTGCTTGATGAGACCCCTAACCTGTACATCTGGATCCATATAAATGAAGATAAAAACCTCACTGAAAACCCAATAGTTTGCATCCACAATGCAAGTCTGAGTGAGAAAACAAAAAGTTGACCATACTTCTCATCAGGGGTACTATTCCTGTACAAATAGATATAGTCAGAAGCACACGGTATAAAACCGTAAAATACAGCAGAGTATTCTATCTGATACTAAACAAAACGCAAACAAACAAATATTTCTACGTTTGTCCACAGAGATACTTATTTGATGAGAAAACATATTCACAATGTAGCAATGACTGAATCTAAATAAATCTGTAAAATATCAAAGAATATGTAAATGCCATACTGAAAGGAGAAGGAACAGCCAAAGAGAGTCTCTGGCAATTTCGTGTCAATTAGATGTAAAATGGGAATAATAATTCTAAACAAACTTCAAGAAACAAAGGTGACCCTGAACCTTCCATAGAATCTAATCTATTTCAAAGAAGGGTGGCCCTGAAACTTCAACTTTGCTGACTCCAAAAGAAAAGGGGGGGGGGGGTGATTTTAAGCCACTACTTACTTTGGACTTTGACAATTTGCCACTTCTTACTTTGTAATTGATCTACTGATATCCTTTAGTTTGCACTTTGATATTTTCCACTCTGTCAGGTGGGTCACACGTAAAATGACCAACCCTGCTAACGAGATTGACCAGGAACAGGAGGAGGATCTCGTTCGCTCACTCGTTCCTTCTCATCCCATGTCGCCTGAGCAACACTAGGAGACGGCTGGGCGGCGACTACCTCCCAGAAGCCCCCGGTGGTCCTCGGCAGCGGTGGCTACATACCGGGGGTAAAGGTATACTTGTCCACTATTTTGTGCATATAATATGTCTATCATTTCGAAGTATTTTTTTAAATGGCAAAAGATCAAAGTGCAGACTAAAGGATGGCAATAGATCAATTACAAAGTAAGAAGTGGCAAATTGTCAAAGTCCAAAGTAAGTAGTGGCAATCGAAATGCAAAACCCAAAAGATAAAAAAACAAAAGACTATTTTGCATGGGTCCACTATTTTGTCAAGTTTATGAAGCTATTGAAAAATCAATGTTTAATAGCACCTACAAAGTCACTAGCACTTCTATTATGCAGGAAATGTTAATTCTGATGCCATGTGTACTGAGGATGCACGTGCATAAAAAGAAAAGAAAAAATAGGTCTGAAAGATAGTGGTTGCAGAAAACATACCATATAGCATGTGAGAAGAGTATAAACCATGCAACATCAAGGACGATAGCAAAGAAGAGCAGGACAGCATAAGTCCGGCCAAGTCTTTGGCTACTACTTTCAATCGCAACAACAGCAAATAGCCCTATCACAAGGTTTATTACAAGAACCCCATTGAACAGTGCACCAAGCGATCCAATCAGCGCACAACCAATCTAAAACATAGAAGATTATGTTATGCAAATGAATACGTTAGTTTGAAGAACATTTTGCTCAGAGCTCATTCAACGTTATAAGCATTAAGCCAGGTATTATGAATTAACTAAAAGTAAAGCAAGTACGTAAGCTTCACTGAATCTAAGAATGTTAACTGTTAAACCATGATATAACCACAAGCGAAGGAGACCAGTAATCACTAATTTTCTACCAACATGACAAAAATTTCAAAATAGCAATTCCTAGTTGCCTACAAGACCGCCCTGGAAGGCAGTCCGCATGGTTGGCTCTCCGGCGGGCACCATGGCAGCGGTGGTGGCTATGTCTCTTGGTCGTGTGGGCGGCAAGGAGGGTGGCTCGGGCTCGCTCTCTGTAATTGACAGGGGCGACACCCAGATCTGGATCTGTTGCCATGTGCTCATCGCGGTTGTCCTAGGTGCCTCGTGGTGGCATAGGTGAGCTGTCGAGCAAAAGGAGTCCACTTATAAGCAGATCTCGGGTACCTTGGTTGGTGCTTTATCTATAAAGCGGGGCGTGAGCCTGTTTCAGAGAGTTGCCTACAAGGCTAGCTAAGTCACACGCTCAATAATAATATATGGTTTCCAGCATTGTAAATGGCCAGAATACAACACTTGTGAGATTTAGAATTTCATATTTTTTAATACAAAGAACCAGGAGGTAATTAGCACTGCTATACGGACTTGATCTGGAATACTCAAACATGAAAGAGATGGCACAGATTTCTATGATTGTTACTAACTCTACTCTGTAGTATAACTTATCCATGCTTAATTGGATTGTGGATTTGCCTGAATTTTGATAGTTCTTGATTCTTGAAATGTTTGTAGCACCTGTTACGAAATGAGCTTCTTGTATCGAACGGGGCCAACAGCCAGTACATATACACAAGAGAGAAATAAGCAAAGTACCTGTACAATATGGTAAATAACTAAATACACACACAACA